GGCTTACAGTACACTTCGACTCCCGACTTGCACACCGAGTCACGCGTGCATGGGCGCCATCAGGCAGACCTGCTGCTGATGCGAGCACAACACATCACATCCCAGCAGGCAGCTGCTGATTGAAGAGGGCAGGCAGGCAGGCATGCCGCTTCAAACTGCTCAGACTGCGGTGGAAGCTTGTGGTTGCACCATATGGCATGCGCAAGCACGAGCAGCCATCCATGACATGCAATGCATGCATGCAAGCAAAAGCGCTCATCCCTCAATCTCTCCGCGCGTAGGCGGACCTCGGGATGACTCGAACGGCTGCTGGCTGCTACTGTGACTGTAGACTCAGACTGATGAATGTGCGGGGAAGCGCGACTTTTTGCAGAGGGCACTCGCGAGTTCAAAAGCGAGGTGGTCAACTCTTGCACAGGATTCCTCGCACACCCTTCCCTCCATCAGAGTCACCCTACAACCATCAATGCGAGCCGATCACTCAGGCTTACTGCAACATATCCCCCAGTGTCGTGTGCAGCGTCCACAACGCAACGCGAGAGCCTCTGGCAAAGCCAATCAAGCCAAGCTTTCAATTTGAGATTCTTCGCGTTCCCAAATTGGTCCTCAGCCCCCCTCCGCCTCAGATCGGAAGCAGCCACGCCGAACCTTATTCGCAACACCCCCTCTTGGCAAGCCGAACCATCAGAGCATGCAAACCGCGCACGGCAAGCGATCAGTACAAAAGGCCAGCTCATAGCGAGCCAGACATGTCGATATCGACATCAACCTACTTTCAGAGAATGCAAGCAGAGCCTCGTAAGCAGCGAGCACGACGACCACTCGGCAAGGAGCAGCAGCGCAATCAACAATTTTCCTTCCAGACATAGGCGACAACAAGCTACGGCAAAGACAACACAGCAAACCACACATCGCTCCTGCAATCGTCGTACCATGGAGCTCAAATTGGACACCAGCGAGTCGCACATCTACGTGTGGCCAGGCAGCACGGTCAACGAGGAAGGGCAGAGCGCCCAGGCTCCACGGGACGATGCGGTGCTCGTCGCCTTCATCACTTTGTCCATCCCAGCCAAGAGCTCTCCTCCCAGCCGCATCCATTGCCTATCGGTCACGCTCGAGGCTGTCGAGAACATTGGCGTGAGTTTGCGTGCGCACATTTGCCTGGTCAACGCGTCGCCTGGTCGCGTCAAATTAACCTTTTCCCACATCCTCATCGACAGTTTCCAAGCGGCTCTTACGAGACCAATCGGCCCTTCAAGGTCAGGTGTGCCAGCGAGCAAGCGATCGACATGCCCATCGAGGCTGGCAAATCCTACAGGTCAGCATTGTCTCGCCCGTTCGCTCTTGGCAGGATGTCAGCGCCCCGCAGCTCACGCTCATCTCTTCTCACGCAGATGGGAGCTGCCATTGTCCATTCCGCATGACGTCGTCCCTTACGAGAGGTGCAATCTTGGTCGCGTCTACTTTCGATTATCCACCAAGCTACACTTTGGCGGCAACTTCATCACAAGACGAACTTTGAGCGCGTCGAAGGACATGTTCATCATTGCCGTTCCCAGTGAGGACAATGTGCTGGATTACGCCCAAAGCCACGGCACCTTTGTGGAGCACCTCGGACCCGTCGCGTTGGCCGTCCGATCTCAGCACATGACCGTAGGCGGCTATGCTAGGCTAGCCTTGTCTTTACCCAGTCCGTCACCCACACTGGTGTTGGACCAATTCTCGCTGAGCGTCGTACAGAATACCACACTCCACAGTCGACAAAGCGAACGGATAGAAAGGGCCAGACCAGAGAGCAGGGTCATCACAGCCATAGAGTTCGATGAGCTCTTGTCCAAGAGACTGCCAGACGGTACATATGAAGGCAACTGGATCGCTCGCATGCCCCACGACAGCCAGATCAGGTGAGTGCGCGAAAGTCAGACTGTAAAGTGCTTCTTGGCACTTACTAGCAATCTGTGACACCTCGTTCAGGTCAAGCACGCTAGCGGCGAGCAAAGCTGCGATACGATTGTCCCACTCTCTAGAGGTTCGCATCATCTATCGACCAGACGATCTGCCAAGCACCAAGCCTTTGCTGTATCGCGCCAGTTGGTCCTTGATATTGCCCCACTGTGCATGCATGTGGTGGGTTGCGGCTAGTCGCTGCGGGTACTTTTGCTTTTGTATGCTGACAATTCTGCCCTCACGTACGACAGGCGGTCGATGAGACTGCCGTCCTACTCGATCGCAGACCCGTGCCCCGTACCTGAGCGAGGCCGCGACGATTGGATGCCAGAGCGCTACGCCAATATTCACGTCTCTCATTCTGGATGTGCATGCGGAGAGACGCTAGAGACACTGTTGGCGTGGGAGGATGAGGTGGACGATGAGCAGGACGTGTGCACGACGCGTATGATGTGGGAGGACATGAGAAGGCAGTGGGAGCGACGAGGTCCGGGTAGTGCGGCAGCAGCGCGAGCGGAGCACTTGCGACAACAGCATTACAGACGAATGGCCAACGAGCATGCCGAGATCGCGCAAGGTGGACCAGCTGCTATTGATACGCTTACACCAGACAGCGGTTCGGGAGGACAACCTGCTGCCAGCTCGCTACCCACCTCGCCCGATGGTGCTCCCAACGCGGACGGATTGCCGCCTATGCCACCCGCTTTCGAGTTTCCACCCTCGCCCGAAGAGAACGAGACGGAAGAAGAGAGGGAGAGAAGGTTCCAATCGGCCAAATCTGCTCAACAGTACGTCTCTGTCACGCCCTACCCATCTTGAGCCTCGTTAGCGCTTCTGGTACATTCTCCCTCTCTCTCTGCACTGATACAAAAGCCATGACGCTCGATGTCTCGTGGCTCCATAAACTTTTGAATCTGACCAATGGCTCGTAATTTCCGTTCAATTCCTCATGCATACAAGTGGACCCGCGACCAGCAGACCCCCTCAATCCTTGTACCATAGTTTTGGCTCTTCACGACTTGCAATCTTACCCAGAGCGAGTGAAAGATGGTGACCACACGTGCCGATTGTGTTTTGGTGAAGGCAATGTCCACCAAGGTGCTTCTTGCTTTGAGCCTTTGCGACAAGTGGAGAAGCGTCAGGACCGGTGCGGTGCGCCACATGCAGCAGCACCAACAGCAGAGGGTGATCGGAAGCACTTGTGCGCCGAGCCGGCGGCGCGTGTCCCTGTGCCGAATGCTGTGTTGCGGCGACGTACAGCACGAGAGGGTGTCGAGGGCGCGAGAGGTCTTCTCGCAGCCGCATAACATGCACACCATCATCCTTTGCGACTCTTGAGTATCGTCACCATTTTTCTCAGCTTCTTCTGGCATCTGTTGATAGGTCGCATATGCGCAGAGCATGAGCACAGCTTCGAAGGTGCGGTAGGACCTGGAGATTGCAGGTCGGCTCTGCCTGCTTGTGGCCAACAGCATCAGACATGCAGTCCTCGATCCGTTTGCACCCACTACAAGAGGACGCGGATCGGCAAGCGCAGAGGACACCAGAGACCAGCAATGCTAGGGATGTATCTGTACTGCAGGAACGACCCAGACGGCGTGGGGCTGCTTCCGTCGAAGCCATTGGGAGGGGGGAGCGCGCGGACCCTGAATTCCCGATTGACCCAGAGCGAGAGGCGAGGCGACAGCGATTCGAGAGCTCGACGAGCGGAGGAACTGCGCCGCATGAACAGGGGAAAAAGGACGGTACACCCCAACTTGAGCCACAAAAGCCCGAGAAGAGCCTCAATGCTCTGCGCTTGCTTCCTCCCATGATCGCGTGGACTGTGCCAGTGCTCACGAGCTGGGCAAAGTTCAAGCCGGTACTCCGCTCTGCCATCGTAGCTTGGATTTGCTTGTTGCTGATGGTCATCGAGCCCATCGAGCGTCAACTCGGCAACGCGAGCTTCTTGCTGCTCGTTGGCGTCTTCATTCAACCTTGCGAACTGCCAGTGGTGGCAGTGATCGAGAGGGAAATGTTCACACTGGGACTGCTGCTCATCGCTTGGGCTTGGTCTTGCCTCGGCACGGCCATCGCTGTTCAAGCCCGAACGTATCAATTGGCGCCGACGGAGGCTGCTTTGGCCTCCATCTTCTCTGGAGATTACATACAGGGCGCGGAAGCGGTCATATGCGGCTTCTTTCTGTCCATCGGCGCTGCTGCTCTGCTCTACCTCAAGGTTCGCTTCGGACCCTCGTGAGTGTCAGAACGACCGCATCTGGAGAGCTTCGAGCCAAAGGTGACTGAAATGTGCCGTTCGCATACATCCAAAGACCTTTCCTGTTTGCGGCGATCCTGTCGTGCATCTGCTTGGATGTAGCGTTGGGTTATCAACCCTTGTTTCCATACCCTGATTACATGCTAGCCACGACCATCATCAAGCCACTGGCGCTCAAGGCTGCAGTCAATATTGGTGAGCTCCACGCTCAAAAGGCCTTTTGCAGAGCTAGCACGCATGCCAATCGAGAGCTGACGCTCTACTGCCTGCGCCCCGCAGTCGTCGCGCTGTTCTTCTTCCCGAAGAGCGTCAACAGCAGCTTTGCCGACAAGCTCGTGGCAGTCTTGGCACCCATGCGTGACGCAGCTAGGAGCCAGATCGAATTGCTGCAGCAAAGCCCTCTGGATCCTGACTTCAACTTTACCCAAGTCCATGACCTGATGACTAAGAGTGAAGGTGGGATCTTGGCACTCGTTGGAGCCGGCCGGCTTCTCACCCGCGAAGTGAGCTTTGGCGTTGCGAGCGGGCAGGATCTGAGCAGTCTCATCGCACTGGTTCGCGCCCTCATGAGCCCCATGGACGGCATGGCCTACTACTATAGGCTCATACGTGCAGATATGAAGCACGATCGTTTTCCGCAGCTTTGCCAACAGCCTGGCTTCGAGGATGAAAGCCATGGTCAGCGAAGTCGGCCTGCATCACGAGCCCCGAGCAGACCTGGCACGCCGGGAATAGACGGTCCGCAACCTTTTCAGGATGTCTCGCACGTCGACAAGGCTGCCCAGCGTCCATCCTCTTTGGCGCCTTTTGCAGCTCGAGAGAAGGGCAGCTCCTCGACTTCCACCCCTCGTTCGTCGCAAGATAGCTCCGGCAACATACGTCAGGCTCATCACGGCGCATTTCTACCGCGAATAGCTCACCTACATCTTCCTAGATCACGTCATCATAGTCCAGAGCCCGCTCCTAGGGTAGGGGCATGGGAGGCGCTGCGATACGCAGCGATAGAGACGCAACTGCATCGCGAAGCGCACAACAAGTTCACCGAGCAGTGCACCCGTCTGCTCGGCGAAACGACTTCTGAGCTGCTCGCTGCTCAGGCGGACGCTCTCGATCATATCCTTAGCTGGTTGGCGAACCTCAACCGCACTAGACTGGCACTCTTGCGACGCAGGGTCTTGGGCAAAGTCATTGGAGGGCTTCCAAGTGCAGACGCGGAAAAGCGCAAGAGCTCACAAGAAGTGTTGGGATCTTTGTCCAGCGCCCTTGAAAGGTTTCATACGGCGCGTCTTGCCTTGATTGAGCCTTTCAGAGCGACCATTGAGTGCACGGGCAGTCCGGAGGAGAGACCTCCGCACCGTTACTTGTGAGCGTCTCTTCTGTTGGCAATGTTGCTCCCTTACGACGTGCTGATTCCCAACCGCATGTCCTGATTCACAGATATCAAGGATTTGTGTTCCAATTCCACACGGCGCGCTTTGGCGAGAGGCTCGTCACCCTGTTGGAAGCCATCGTCAAGATGGAAGAGCGTCAAGATGCGATCGGTGGGCGCTTCTGGCTGCCCTCGCTACCTCACATCTTCTCCGCGGAAGCGTGGCACTCCGAGGGTACTGCTGATGGAGAGCATGGGCATGATGATGAGGATCCTGCACACATGGGTCCGGACCACTCCTCCATGCTGGGACGAACAAAGAGGCGCGATCCTGATGCGCTGGAACCACAAGGAGCTATTCAACAAATTGGCACTCGTGCCAGCACCTTCCTTCACACTCTCGGACGTGGCAACATGCTCTTCTGCCTCAAGGCAGCCGCCGTCACGGCTCTTCTGAGCCTGCCTCAGTTCATGCGCAGCTCGGCTAGATTCTGCTACGTCAACAAAGCCGTCTGGAGCTTGTTCATGGCACAGCTGACCCTGGCCAGGCATCGAGGAGAGGTCGCATTTGGTCTCGTATCCAGACTCATTGCCACCACTGCTGGTGCCGCGATGGGGCTCGTCATCTGGTACATCGCTGCGCCTACGGGATATCACGCATCCAGCCCTTACACGCTCATGGTGACCGCCGCCATAGCGTTTCCCATCGTAATGCTCGTCAGGCTCAACGCACCAGGGCCGCCCATCACATCCATCATCACGTGTGTGACTGTGGCTCTGGTGCTCGGTTACAGCCTCAAAGACTCCACCAACCCCACGTTTGGTTTCCGCGGAGTAGGCTGGACTGTAGCCTGGCGCAGGTTTGTTGGTGTCCTCATTGGCACAGGTGCAGCGCTGGTCATGGCGATACTGCCACCCTCGAGCACTTTGAGGAAGTACCAGCGCCTGGGCCACGCTGCGACAATCTCTGAGCTCTGTCAACTCTACTGCGACGTCGTCGCTTACGCTTCGGCACCCCATCATCCCGATCGATCGCCCACAGAGCTGACAAAAAGGCTGCTGGCAACGAGGAGCAAGCTGCGAAGGCTTGCGCTGACTCGCTCCGTCGTCACTTACGAGTTTTCGCTGCGAGGCAAGTGGCCGGTCAAGCGGTACGAAGAATTATCAGCCGTCGCGATGGAACTATCAAAGCTGCTGTCGCACGCAGTCACCGTGACGGAAAAGCTAGGCGAAGGATACTCTGCCGCCCTTCTTCGAAAGACGCGTTTTCTGGATCCGGGCTTCTTGGCAGATTGCATATCCGTATTGTCGCTCTGCGCGACTGCACTACGGAGCGGCGAGCCTTTGCCTCAAGTCATGCCCGTGCTGATGGATAGACTGCTTGTCAGAGGCACGAGCTATGAGCTCACAGACGTTTCCGACGAAGGCAAGGACGCATCCCCGAATGTTGCCGCTTCGGAGATGCACACAGCGGAGTCTATAGTCGGAGATGCAAGTCCTCCAGCACACGACGCATACAGATTGCCAAAGCATGTCGACATGGCTACTCTTCAATCGGAGCAGTATCAAGCTTTTGCAGTAGGCATGACCATCGCTTTTGGCATCGTGTTGCGCATCGATAAGCTTTGCATGGCGACCAAGGCTCTCGTGGGGGAAAGTTATCCGGTTCCTGCGGATTGGAGTTCCGGTCGTACTCATTACGCGTCCAGCAATCCGCCTCATCGCTCATAGTCGCGCGCCTCTGCCATCTACACTTGTGACGCTCCTCGGAATTTCCTTTGCGCTGTGGAGATGCAGATGCAGGACAGCAATGGTAGCATGTCTGCAACTTGTATAATAATGAATTTCTAGGTCTTACTATGCATACGTCTTGCACGACCTTGGCGGCAATTCTGTCAAAGGTCCAAGAGTCAGGCAGTGCCTCATGGCATCATCAGTAGCTGAGACTGCGCTCGATGATTTGAGTGAGCTGCGCCTGGCCATCCGAGCCACCAGTCACGTCGCCAATGCCAGGTGCCAAGTCGAGAACACGACGCTGAGGAATGGACCCTTTGACGAGGACAGAAACTGACGATGGTGGGGCCCAAGTGGGCTGCTGTCAGCGACGTACTTGGGCCTGTGTGCTCAGCAGAGCGCTGACTCACCATGTTCTGATTTGTATCCGACAGCAGCAAGACCTCTAGGCATACCGAGAGTCTTGGTCAGGAATCGAGCAATGCGGTCGTAGACGACCTGGCCGATCTGGTCGTCGGCCAGCCTAGCAATCGAATCCTGTCCAGCGTCTTCCTCCGTAGCAAAGATTTCCGCAATTTCTCTGTGCCTTTCGGGCGCTGATGCGGCTGTAAATTCAAAGACTGCTGGACCAGTCAAGCAGACGGAAAGACCGTGAGGAATGATGGGGTGATCGGACGCATAGCCGGGATGGTAGTAGTTTGCCAGCGTCTTGTTGAGACCCGAGATGGGGTATGAGATTCCATGACAGAGATGCACACCTGCATTTCCAAAGCCGATGCCTGCAAATGTTGCAGCTAGAAGCATCTGTCCACGAGCCTCCACATCTGTCCGGTCTTTGGCCACGCGAGGGAGGTACTTGACCGTCTGCTTCAATGCCCAGAGCGAAAAGACGTCCGAGATGGGATTCCGGCCCTGGTAAGCTGGCCTTTGCAGAGGACCAGCTGGTCTGGCTCTTTCGGTGTAGGGAATCGCAGTGTAGCTCTCGAGGGCGTGGAAGAGCACGTCAAGACCTGCACTGACGTGAACTGCTGTCGGGCACGTCTCGGTGTTGTAGGGATCGACAATTCCGAGCAGAGGTCGCATGGCACGCGAGGCGATACCCGTCTTGGCTGATGTCTCTGTGTGATCAAAGATGGCCGTGCCTGTCGTCTCTGAGCCTGTACCTGCTGTGGTAGGAACAGCAAGCAGGGGTCTCAAGACCTTGTCCACCGGCGTGCCTCTCCCTATGGGCGCATTCACGAATTCCAAAATATCCGCTTCAGGGTAGCAAGTGAACAAGTTGGCCACTTTGGCAGTGTCCATTGCGCTTCCCCCGCCCACTGCCAAAAAGTGAGAAAAGTCGTTGGCACGAGCAAAAGAGATGGCGTCCGCCCAGCTCTTGTCGTTGGGCTCCACGCGTACTCGGTCAAAGATCTCGTACATGACACCTTCACGCTCCAGCGCTTCGATGGATTGCTTCATAGGGGTCAAGTGCCTGACTGTGCTATCCGTAAACACGCCCACCTTTCTCGCCTTCATGTTCTTGAAGTCCTGGCCCAACTCTTGCGTCACTCCTTCTCCAAATCGAATGTTGCTGGCTGCAAGCTCGAAGGCGTACTCCTTTTGAGCAGCCAGAGGAACGGGAGAGGCATAGGACCGCCGAGTAGAGGAGAGCGTGTTGTGAGTGTTGATCATGCCCAATCCTGCTCGCAGAGCTGAAGTCGTCTCTCCTCGCATGCTCGAGCATCCGTGGCACGGGCAGCCCGCCCCATGTGCTTGCCGCATGAGGTTAACTGAAGAACGGAGGAGTGGGCAGGCAAGTCAGGCGACACGCGCCAAATCGACAAAAGCTGTGTAAGTAGAGTCCTTCCTAGGCGCCTGCGGCTGGCACACGACACACTGCCAGCTTAAGCCAGACAAGTCAAGCAAGCTGTCGCCCATTTGCGCGCGTATAAGGTCGACGAGTGCACGTCGATCCGTTGGAAATAACGTCTGGATGCGTTCGGGATCCAGTCGAGCTACTCACAGATCGCATTGCGCGTAGAAGGCGCGGCAGGTCGAACCATGGTTCCAGGAGGGTGGGTGTATGCGCGCGAGGACCGTCTTTCAAGTCGAGCCGATCAGCAGTGTGTTGCGCATGAAGTGAGCACGAAGCGTGCTGCGAAGCTGGGCAGATGATGGTGGAGATGCCCCACAAGGCGAATTGCCAGAGGGATCGCAGGGCTCATTCACATTCAGGTCGGGTGGGTGCACCTGTGTGTCATCCAGTCGCACCACACACTGACGGGTGCTGCATCCCATAGCGCCATGTACTCACACTGTAGCTTTCTGCGTGGCAGCTGCCGCTGATGCCTGCTGATGCTTGCCCGCCGCCGCCCCGGCATCGGCAACCCCACAAAAGAATTGGGCCGAGAGGAAGAAGAGCGGGGAAAATCAATATCACGTGACTGTCATCACGGCAGCACGGGTACCGGCTCGTCTCGTGATCCGAGCATTCGACGGGGTTGCCCATAGGCCGTGCTCGACATCTTCACATTCAAGATTGTGGAACGGCGGGACTGTCATTCACACGTTGACTACTTGTGATTCTAGTCACACTCTAGAGCAGCATTCTGAGCGTTCGGTCATGTCAGAAGCGTTGGTGCATTTGGAGCAAGTCACTCGGCTCTCCTCGAGGGTCGTGCGCATTCTCGGTTCCAATCCAGGCAAATTCACACTGCAAGGTGAGCAGCCTGGGGTTTGCAATAACGAGCTCTTCAAGGTCTGAAAAGCTCGCGCATGAGGAGGCTGATCGTGAGATCTGCTGTTCGCTCCATGTCTACCCAAAGGCACGAACACCTACCTCGTTCATGCGCCTGTGCCATCAGCTGTCGATCATGCCGATAGACGAAGCGTGGATGCGCTGCCTTGCGTCCTCATCGATGCAGCGGAGGGAAAGAGCGCATACATCGACACGCTGAAAGGTGTCTTGCTTGGTCGAGATGAACACGATTGGAGCGGCAATCATCAAACGAGCTCGGTTGCGAGCTCGAGTTCTGATCCCTATCCTCGCTTCACCATCACAGACATGTGAGTTCCTCGACCGGTGGTGTTGCCGGCTCGACTCAAGGCCATCTTGTCCCTTTTAGCTCAGCGCATCCTTTGCCGCCCTCTGTCTAGAATTCTCACTCATCGGCACGTAGACCACGTGGGCGGTCTGCCGAGTGTGCTCGAGCTGCTTGCCGATATTCGACGAGAGCATAAGAGCAAGCCTCCTCGGATACACAAGCTGCGAGACAAAGTCAAAGCCGCAGCTGGCGAGGCGGACGAGGTGGCTCAGCTGCTCGAAAACTGCAGCTCGACGCTCTTCGCAAAGTCGAAGGCTGGAGAAGACGTGCACTGGATCGAAGATGGTGACTCTTTCCAACTTGCCAACGATGGAATCAGCTTCTCCTCCACTGCGTCCGACACCACCGAACAGCCGCAATCGAAGCGCAACGCTGGCGTTCCGGCGCTTCCGCAGCATCTCGCGCTTGATGCAACTTCTGGCGATACGACGACGTTGCAAATCTTGCACACTCCCGGTCATACGGGTGATCACATTTGCTTGTTTTTGGCTCAAGAAGCTTCGCTTTACACTGGTGACAACGTTTTGGGACAAGGCACGAGCGTATTTGAAGACTTGCGCGTCTACTTGCAAAGCTTGAAGCGCATGTCGGACGTTCTCGAAAGAAGCCCGGCCCCTCGCGAGGTGTACGGAAAGAGTTTTGAGCGTCTCAAAGAGGCTTCAAATCAGGCGCAAGCGAGCGCGCCGGAGAACAGGCTCTACCCTTCCCATGGTCCTATCCTCCTTCAGGGGAAAGCCAGCATCAGGCAATACATCTCTCACAGGCTAGAACGCGAATCCCAAGTGCTCGAGTTGCTTTTGCGTCCGAAATCTGCCCCCGAGTCCATAGACGATGCGTGGACAGCACGAACAATCGTGCAAGAGCTATACAAGGACTATCCCGAGAGTCTACACATCCCAGCGGCTCGGGGGATCTTTTTACATCTCGTCAAACTATTGCAGGATACTCGAACAGAGCCAATTGCCGCCCCGACAGGCTCGATCTCCGAGAAAAGATCCGTAGTGGTCAAGTGCTTGGATGAAGATGACGACTTCAGGCAGGCAGACAAAGCCAGCTCTGGCGGTGCAGCGTCTGCGTCTGCGTCAGATGCAACGTATACATGGGAAGACATCTGGCTTGACTCACTCGACAAACGCTGGGTAGCAGAGCGCGCACAGGAGGGCGTTCATCCCACGACTGGCCGAATGTGACGAAGGATGTTGGACTGCTCCGGCGTCGAGATATCAATCTGGCTGGATGCTCTGCTTCAGCTCTAGTGAGTTTCCGGCCTGCCTTTGTGTAACACCTACTTCGTTGGATGAGCGGCGGTGGCCACATACGCCCCATATGGATCAGAAGCCTTCCCGAGCGAGGTCGTCGCAGATCTGTAAATAGAGCCTATATGAGTTGAAGGAAAGCAGAACAGAGCTTCAGAATCCGTTGGCTCAGACTAGCGATGCTGCACCCAGCAGGACGAGCAGGTCATAGCGCGAAATGAGGATCTGCTGCGAGACTGACCTGTTTGGGTCGAAAGGTTCTTCTCCACCAGTCATGCGCTGCCACTGCGACTTGACGGCGTTGACCCAGCCTGGATAGCATAACAGAGCAGGGTTTCAGCGCCATTGAACTAGCCAGGTGTGAGCAATCCGGACGAGCTCACCAATGAGTTCCAAATGGTTGGCCCCGAGCGTGCCTGCGTATTCGCCCCACTTGGAGCTCTTGACGCTGACCAGGCCATCATTGGCCCCCTCTTGCTCGTAGATTATGCCAAAGGGCACGCGCCATTCGCTAAACATGCCAGGCTGGAAGGCTGCTCCGTAAGAGAAATCTAGCAGACGGTCGAGAAAAAACATTGCAGTAAAGTGAGAGATCACGACGCTCGGTCATTGCCATCGAAGGAGCTTACATTTGACGCCGTCCACGTTGGGTGTCTGTGAGCCGTCTCGCAATGAAGGACGTGAGCATGTGTAGCTGGGACGCTTCGCCGAATCACATAGCCCGCTCACCGCTTCGTTGAATTTCTGCATGGGACCTAACTGCAGCTGTTTGAAAGCTCCTCCACCTCCGGGAATGGAAAGAGCCTTGACGAGGGCGAGTGCTCGCGGCATATTCTCTTCGCCAATCACTTGCTGTATCATGAAGTCTGCAAAGCTAGAGCCTCGATGTGGCGTAGCAATGGTAGTCAGAGATCTTACTCGAAACGACTTGTTCTCCAGCCTCGAAATCAAGTATCGACAATCCAGTCCTCCCATGCTATGTCCGATTAGTGAAATGTCGCGATTGGGAAATTCCTTCTCTATGATATCCCTCAAGGCTTCTGCCCTCTCTTCAATCGTCGCGCTTGCTGGTACACGAGCCACGATGAATTCGGTGCCTCTCTTCTGCAACATTTCCGAAATGCCCCGCCAGTAGTTGATGGTGACGGGTCCCAAAGCCAACGAAGAGAAACCGAACAAGCCATGTGCTAGCACGATGGGGTGTTTGGGTATCTCCCAAGTCTTTTGCTCTCGCAGCGGCGTGATCTCTACCGCATCAGAGTCGTACGTGTCCCGTGCGGCTTTGCCGGTCTTTGCAGTCTCTTCCTCTCCTTTCTTTGCCGCCGTCATCATGCCGGAGGATGTGGATTGAGCTGCTTCCGAAGCCTTCGCCAGGGCGTTTTCCAGGGTGACTCGATGTGAGGTCCACCAATCATTGGTGCCCGGGGGTTGCAGGCCCATAGCGGTTCGTAACCTCGACATGGCGCCAACAAATCCTGTCTCCTCCTTGCCATGCGTTGTCGATGGCTGCTGGGGCTTTTCACCGGCCGTGTGCTCAGCATCATTGCTCAACTCAAAGTCCCAAAAAGAGGGCACGTCTTCCACGTCGTCCAGGTATGTTTGATTTGCGTTTGTTGAGAATCGCCTGACTGCTGCCTCTCCGCTCCATGGACCTCTCCGCTGTGATTCATCGTGAACTGGTGAGCCACTGCGGGCCAAGCTTCCAAATTGCCTTGCAGATATGGCCGTGTGAGCGGCAGCTGGTAACTCGGGTGGAGCGTTAGACGGCCCTCCAGCGCTCGCGGAAGTACCAGGAGAGCCAATGCTGGTGGTAATGAGGCCATGCCTGTTCAGTCCCAAAGTTGGAGCAGCGTAGCCTCGACTGCTGTGAGAAGAGAGGGAACGAAGTAGGGATGGAGCTGATGCTCCTGCTTTCGCGGCGGGGGACGCTGGCTCTTCGACTCTATCGTCACCTTCCATGGACCCTGCAGATGCTTTTGAGGTTTGCCGTCTATGTGTCCTCTCGCTTGAGCCGTCCGCTCTGCTGGAGGCCGCGAAGCCTAAGGCACCGAGCCAGCTCGGCGGAACGTGAGGCATGCTAGTCCGGCCGTTCCCTGCTGGTCCTGGCCGCTCGGCTTGAGCTGCCACCACGCGACCGCTTGCCTGTAAAGTGATTTGCGCTCGGCTTTGCGGACTCTTGTCGGGAGCAATGTGCGCTCGCGCAGGAGCAGGAATGACAGAAGGCAAGGGGTCCATCTTGGCCTCTGCCAAGGCTTGACGCAACTCGTTGGTCCCGGAAGGATCTTCTGCACTCCTATCCTCCAACGGCCCCTCACGATCTCTCGCCACACTTTCAGATGACCGACGTGCCGAGACGGGGCTCGAACTTCGTCGCTTGGCCGTCTGCACCTTGGAGCGCAATGGACGAGAAGGATCAATGCTTCGATAGATTGGCCCGTCGTGCGTTGTGTGGACCAGATTTTGCGTGGCTTGAGAGATGCCATCGTGTGATGCTGGATAGGCTGCGAGCTCAAAGGATGCCCTCTGTCGGGTATCGTCAAGATCGACGGCTTCTCGGGGCGCACTCACTGACGCCGACTGTCCCGCCGCCCCCGCGGCGCCACTTTCAGCCGTTCGACTGCTGAGAGAGTGCGGGGCATCATGCTGCGAAGGTAACTCGGCGCTCGCCTCCCTAGCTTCTTTCTGCTCCACTGCCAGTCCATCGTTGGACGGATCTTGGGTCGAGGCATGCTGCGTATGCGCAGCTGCTTGTTCAGCAGCTTTCGTGCCTCCAAATGCTGCTTGCCAGGACTGAGGGAGCATTCGAGAAGCCTTGAGGTGTCTTGCTTGGCGCCTGCAATGCGTATGGGCGATGCTGAGCATGGGGCTGGGGTGTTGCGGCCGGTGAGGAGGGTGTTGTCGCAGGTGGCCAAGGCAGAGTAGGCAGAGCTGTGACGAGGCTCTTATGACCGAAATTCACTCGACTCGGCACGGCGATGAAGAAGTCGCTGTGAAGAAGAGCGTCACGCTTGCAAGGCTTGACTCGCGGTACAAAACACCGCCGTGGGGTAGGTTGAAAGCTCTGATGAGCGCCAAGCCGGGTGCGACCATCAGGCTGTCGATCCATGAAATGAACGGTCTAGCTTGAATACGGGTACTCGTGACTTGAATACGAGCCAAGTGGAGAGAGCCGCCGAGACGTCCATGGCAGGATGCAGCTGCTGCCGGGTTCAGACTCGCGACTCCACTTGCCGAGCCGCGCGAACGTCATGCGGACATCGATCGCGGCGGAGTCGAGATGGATATGCAGTCAGTCACGTGTGTGTCTCTGTAGGCTGCGCCAATTTTGGCCGGCATAGACGCGCGAGGGGGATGCTGCACCGTGCCTGATGTGATCCATGTGACGACCGCACTCACCTCATGCGCAGGCTCTCGAGAACGACATGTCTTAGAGAGCATGGACTTCTCTCGAAGGGACACGCGCCATCACTTGAAAGCAGAGACTGCAAAATCGTCGCAGCATGACTTGACTGTGGGAGGGGCGGTGAAAGAGCATCGTACAGGGATGCAAAGTGCCTCACAAGGACATTCGTGCCAAAACCACGCGCTGCATCTACGCGCGTGCAGGGGCAGCAGCACAAAGGAATGCACCTACACTCTAGCTTCTGATGCGCGCAGCAAAGAGCGGCCGGACACCATCACTTTCGCAGGTGAGACAGAAGCGCTTCACAACGTGTATGGAGGCTTGATGCGGACTCTGACGGCCCACAACGACCAGCATCAATGACCCATCAGCCGTCTTCCGTATATAGCAGGCAGGATATGCAAGACGATGGGTCAAGAGCGTGAAGGCTACCCGGTAGAATGTCCTGCAAACCAAGTCCGGCGGTTCCTGCACCTGCAAGCTTCTTGTCATGGATTAGCGTCTCCGACTCCGACAATCAAAATTCTAAATGTGGTGGCACGGGGTTTTGTTCAAGCTGCTGGTGCGCAGACATGGAGCGCCCAAGTCTCCGCAAAGTGCTGCTATTAGGCTCGAGCGTCCCAATTCCTCAGTGATTATGGACAAGCAGTCGACATCCCTGCCACGAAACTGCACAGCGACTCCCTCGCAAGATGCTTAAGTAGGCATGAACCTCGCTTCATGTAAGCGATGTGAAGTTTCCATCCCTCATTCAAGCCTCGCCATCCTCGAGCAAGATGATTAGCCAGCGAGTCGCGCTCGAGGCGTTACTCGGCCTCTTACAAGCGTCCGCCTTGACAACTGCAATCCTCTGCGTCTATATCGTCTATAGCGTCGGCTGGCGATATTTCAGATGGCGAAGTTGGCTTCCAGGCGTGCCAGGGCCTGCCAATCCTTCCTTCTTTCTCGGGAACTGGGCCGACTTCGCAGTGAGTCGTGGCGCGAAGGGCTGAATTTTGCTCGCCCGCCTTGCCTGCTGACCGACGTGCTTCGCCCGTCGATTCAGGATGAGGATCTCTGCGACTTGTTCCTCAAATGGAGCCAAAAGTATGGAGGCATGACAAAGATGTCGGCGTTCATGGGAGTGAGTGACAGCTGTCTTGGTAACAGCTCGTTGGGCACCGCGGCTCGCTCGACCACATGCTCGCCTGCGCAGACTGATCTGCTCCGATGCAACATATCGCACAGGAAAAGCGCTTGGTGGTGACGGATCATGTAGCTCTCAGGCACATTCTGGTCTCGCGTCCTTACGCGTACCCCAAAGGCGTGGATACGGCTAGGGTTCTGACAAGCCTTATGGGCGCGGGACTGCTGGTGAGCGAAGGAGATGTGCACAAGAGACAACGCAGGGCCATCGAAGCTGGAATGTCGCCTGCGTCCATCAAGCGACTGGGTCCAGTATTCATGTGAGTGCAGCTAGCAAGGGCGCTGCGACCTGGTAGCTACTTCGAGGACTCACCTTGTCCGCTTTGGGGAACCTCTCCTCGCAGCTTCTATGCTCGGCGCCTGCGCCACAAGTTGCTGCAACATGTGGACAAGGAGCTGCGGACTGCCAGAACCAAACCCGCGGGGACTGCGTCTGATCAAGGTGTACTGATCGACATGCTAAGAGCAAGCTCTCGAGCTACTCTGGACGTGCTAGGGCATGCCGCTTTTGGGCTTCGTCTGGATTGCCTGGAAGATACTGAGCTCATACGACCAGGCTTCGACAAGGAGCCCACTTGGTTGGACAACGAGAGGGAGAAGTCTGCCAGCTCCAGCCCGCTCATTCGAGCCTATGACCAGGCGCTGCAGCTAGCATCCAGCAATTCGCAGTGGCGCATGTTGCTGGACATTGCCATCATGTTCTTCCCTAGCTTGGTATGGATACCCATTGGAACACAGAGCCGCACCTTTGGCAGGGCGCAAAAGCACCTGCGAGAGCAAGCTGAGAAAGTCGTCGAAGATGCCAAGGCAGATTTGGATGCTGCGAGCGCCGATGCCGACAAGTTGTTGCGAGTGGAAGGCGGAGCCGGCTCATCGGCTGCAACGTATCGTGGTGAAAGGGCAGACTTGCTTGCAAGCATGATGCGAGCAAATGCCCTATCCAAACAGGCCGCTCGCGATGCAAGTGAAAGTCACATTCCCGAAGCGTTTTTGCAAGCTCGGGCAGCGGGTGATTCAGGGGCTAAATCGGGAGAGAAAAGGCAAGGGTCGCACAGTCCTTCACCAGTCTCGCCTCGCTCGCCCTTCTCTCGCTGGTCAAGCGTTCCAGAATCGCCAATGTCCTTGCAAAAGGCCACACTCGCAGATGAAGAAGTCGTCGCCCAAGTATCGACGTTCATGCTTGCAGGCTTTGAAACCACCTCCACCCAGCTCACTTGGACCCTGCTCTATCTGGCGGAGAATTCCGCCTGCCAAGAAAAGATGCGCGAGGAGCTTCGGGCTAAACGTACAGAACTCGGTCTCAGCCCTGTTGCTGGCTCTTGGCTGGGAACAGAGGACATAGATACACACACCGATGCGTTCGGAGACCTTGAGAGGGAGCTGACTATAGACGAGCTGGAAACACTGCCGTACCTGGACGCCGTCGTTCGAGAGGTCTTGCGGTTGCAGCCAGCAGGTGAGTCGCTATAGCAGAAGTAGGTCGGATCGTGATTCTACTGCAGCTAAAGCGTATGTCCCTCTTGACAGTCCACACCTCTTCGCGCGTTGCTAGCGAGGACGACGTCATTCCGGTGGATCCTCTAGCTTCGCCGAATGTGCCGCGCTCGGGCGTGCGAGTGGAGAAGGGATTGATGCTGATCATCCCGCTTACCGCGATCGGCAGAGATCCTGAATTGTGGGGAGAAGATGCGGACAAATTCAGGCCTGAACGCTGGATCGAGGCGAGGAGAAGCGATGGCTCTTGGGCAATGGAAGGAGCCAAGCGGTGGTCTCGCACCGGTGGAGTCGCGTTTATGATGGGTCCGCGAGCCTGCATAGGTGAGTTTGGTCAAGACGCAAAGTTGAAAGCGGCGCGAGCAAGCCTTTCGCTCATAATCCATTCTGCTTCTTCAGGCAATCGCTTTGCAGTATCCGAGATGAAGGCGCTCCTGTCTATCCTGACTAGCACGCTGCATTTTGAGAAAGGACGTCGACCTGTCACGCCAAAACGTTGGCTGGTCACCAGGCCTTGGGATTGGACCGTCGACAGCGAACAAGCGCCGCTGATGGTGCGCAGGATTCAAGCGTAAGCAAACTCTGACTCTGATGACGACGTTCTGTACCAGTATGATATTATTATTATCTTGTCTCGACTCGATGCGTAAATGTAGTGCGCAAAGCTTTGCAAGTGCAGAAATGCGGCAAGAGAGTAAAGATGCGAGCGTGATGACGCAAATAAAGATGGTGGGGGGCATCTGATCGAAACAATTCAGTGTCCTTGTTGGTACAGGTGCAGACATACAGCGAGCCAGAATCGCTCAAGCTGATCGCTCTGTCTACGTTTCTCCTTCTCAGACTCCTTCTTCGAGGCTTCCTTGCTCGGTCTGCGCTTTGCCTGCGCGTCCCAGTCCAGATCAGCACTGTCGCTAGCGAAGGGCACGCGACGGTTGGGTACTGCAGACGTAGCGGGGAAGCTGCTCATCGAGGCAGCAGCATCCGTCAGGGCTGCATCTCCCGACAATGGGTATTGAATGGCAAATCTTCGTGCCCTTTCTGCCCGATGCCAGGCCAACTCTCGACGCAGCTCGCGCGAAGCAGCATTTTGATCCAGTGAAGCTTCCCACTGCGCATCACGCTTCAGTCGAGGGCTGGCGCTTGCACCACTGGACTCCGTTGTTGGTGAGCCTCCTGCCGATCTGGGACTAGGAAGTGGCGGCGGCTGTCCAATGAGCACAGCTTCGGGCGGTGCGGAACGTATTTCGCTCCACGTTGGGGTGCTCGCCAGCGTCAAGCGTGCCGGCTCGGTATGACCAGGTTCATGCTCTTCTCCATTGCTGCCGGCAAGGTAGGCGAAAGCGGCTTGGCTAGTCACGCGACTTGCTTCGGCCAGAGCGTCTTGAGCATCTGCCGCCCTCTCCGCCTGCGCTCGTCTACGCTCGTCCCGCTGTGGAAGGCGCTCGGAGATCCATTCCGCAACTTCAGATACAATGCCCGAGTCGCCGGCACCTGCAGCGTCTTTGGACATGCTCGCAAGCTCGCTCGAATGCCAAGGCCGGGCTGTGTCTGGCATTCCTGCATCGTCAGGCGCAGCTATGGCGGCGTAGTGCTCTAGAAAGGAGCTGGGCCCGTCCGACGCAGGCTTAGAATTTCCGTCGCTGTCTGTGGCCTCCTTGTCCTCTGCTTTGCTGGCTGTCGCGGTGTCTCTGGCCTTTCTATCCACTAGGGCGTTGTCTTTCGGCTCTTTCTTGCTCTTGGTGAAGACATCAAGGAGCCGATTGATATCGATCCAGCTGGAACCCTCGGTCTTTGCAGCCTCCTCTTTTGCAGCCTTTTTCGGCGCGTCATCCAGACGTTCTGACCCTGATGTGCTTCCCTCCCAAGGCTTACCTGTAGCGTAGTTGATCTTCTCTCCAGCGCCCCATCTAGGACCACCTCCACCACGAAGATCCCAGTGGTCGCAACCGTCAATGACGCCCAAAAAGTGACCCCATCTTGCACTCTGGACGCTAACCAATCCATCATTGCCCTGCAGCTTGCCCCCCAACGCATCACCGCTGCCGTCCGTCTCTGCACCGCCCGTACGACTTTCAGCCGCTGCATCGAGGATCAGCTTGGGCAGCCAGAGTGGATGCCAAGGTTGTATGCTGCGCGTCCGTGCTGCGACAGAGTAGTACTGGACGTGTGGCGAGTCTGGGGTGGAAGGATTGAACACTTCCGTCATGTACTTGGTGCTAAGCATGGCGTAGGCCGGCTGATCAAGCACAGAGAGCATGTACGACGAGAAGCTGCCCCCCAGCATTGACAGAGCATTTGTGAACGTACTCATACTGAAGGGCAAGCTAATACCGCCCGGCTTTCCTTCGTTAGGCTTGCCCTTTGTTTTTGTCTTCGTCTTTGCAGAGTCTGAGTCTGCAGTGTTGCCAACCCCGGCGCTCTGTGTAGTTGCTTTGACAGTCTCCACAGCCTCACAGAGCTTCTCGTCAACCTTTTCTTTGAAGCTGGGATCCAGCTCGACATTGCTCTGATCGCCCTCAGATCTTCGTGAGTCGATGGCATTCGACTCTGCCTCCGCCTCGCTCTTTGCTTCCTCCTTTGCTTTGGTCTTCTTGGGCTTCACAAAGATAGGCGTTTTGAGCGTGTACGGCACCTTTGGTAGGTGTGACGAGTCGGCTAGTGCACCGCTCTGACGAGCCTGCTGCACCGCTTCTTCGATCGCATCGTTGCCGACTCCAACATTGGCGTTGCACCAATCCATAAATGGGCTACCCCGGTGGGGCGTGCTGAGCGTGGTCAAGCTGATGGGCTCATATTCGGTGGGCTTGATGTTGGTGATGAGGTGTCTAGCATCCAGACCACCCATGCTATGCGCCACCAGATTCACCTTTTTGCCGAGCACGGCAGCTTCGGGCGTGCACAGAAACTGGTGCAGCGTGTTGGCCCTATCCTTGATCGATCCAGCTCCCGGCACCGCCTTGACGATGACGTCTGCTCCAATCTTCTTGCGCAGAATATCAAGCACTGTCGCCCAGTAATGAATCTCGAGGCCGAGAAATAATCCTCGCTTGTCGAAGCCACCCAGTCCATGCAACAAGACGATCGGATGGCGCGGCCTTCGGATTGGCTCGTACAATGATCCCAAGCTCATGAGTTCGTTGATGTGATTTTCGGTTGGCTTCGCTGACGGCTCTGTCTCCTTGTGCTTGATGTCGTTGTGCGTAGCAACAGCCGTTGAAGGCTCAGCGTGTGTATTTGAGTCGTCTTGCGGTGTTGTCGACGCAGGAACCTTGGCATGGGTCTTATGCCGGCTGGTCTTGCTGCCGTCCAGCAAAGCTTGCTGAGACAATGCTCGCTGGATTCTCGTACTCTCCAAGTCCTGCGAGGCGCTTCCGTCGGCTTCTGAGCCGGCAAACGAACCGCCTAATCGTGTAGCGTACCACCACTTCAAAAAGTCAGCAGTTCCCTGGGATGGCGAAGCTAGCGTGTAGAGCGGCAAAGCCATCTCGTCGATGGCATCAGCGGCGCGGGTTGCTTGCGTCTTGGACTCCACCTCCACCTTCATTGTCTTGCTTGGAGACTGCACGGGGGATGTCTGGGTAGCCTGGGCACCACCAGCGCTATGCAGCAGAGCAAAAGCTCCACTCGAGCCGAAAGCCTTGCCCAGGCCGCGCGTTCGCCTTCTACATCTTGAATAGGCCAATCGAATCAGACGAGGGTGCATCGTTGTAATGCGCTCGTTTGCTTTGCGTGCTGTTTGAGCTTGCTATCCTGTCAGCGACGGCATCGCGTGCGGGACATGCGAGTGCCGACGGTGAGGAGCTTGGATGGGAGTAGCCTGACGATCACGAGTGCTGGGCGAGTCTAAATGAGGTCGATCTGTTGAATGCGACTTCGTCTTCGTCTGACTCGCCTCTGATGCGCTGTGGCCAAGCTCCCTGCACAGATGGTCGTGAGCTGACGCGGTGTGGTTAGGGGCTTGCAATGGCTCCCAACCTTTGAAGAAATGCGGGGTCTCATCCACGTTTCGCGCGATATCGAAGGTCGATGTGTGAGAGACAGGTTGCAGCTGTCCCGCCAGAGAACAGCGGGCAGAACGCGCGCAAAGAAAGGCACGCGAGTGCGTTCACGCACCGGCGCCGCGCGGCGCTCGATCGATCACGATGTGCATGGGCGGCTGGGCGCACGCAGCACGCACGCACGCACGCAGGCGACGCTCGACTCGAGCGTGACTCTTCCCGCCCCCTTCCCCCAAACAAGCCCTGAATTCAATAATCACGTGAATGATTGAGACCCGCATTCCGACGCTGATCGACAGACCCCATCACGTGCATGTCACACTCCTGACTGTGATTCACCATACCGAGATCACTCAAGACTTTCTCATCGGACTGATGGGATGACGTTTGCCTTCCACGAGCACCGTCCAGCGCCACCACGATCACGAATGTCACAGCCATGCAGCAGCAAGGAGCAAGTAACACGGGCGAGCAGACATCACGATTGAGAAAAGGGCCGGCAGCATTCAGTTGCATGAATGCGAAGTGACACACCCTCCAACATCCATCGTTGATGCCATTGACTTTGTCAGACCATCTTTATGTGCTACGCTTTCAGACTTGCTACGTACATCTTGATGATCGGGTGTCACAGAAGGGCTTACTTACGTCCAGCGACGAACTGAGCGACGGTCTTGCCAAAGTGCGACCCGTGATGGTGGGCAACCTTCAGGTCCGCCTCGTTGGGTTGACTGGAGGGGCATGGTGCAGGCGTGTGGCATGAGCAAAAGTAGCGTTAGTGGGTAAGCAAGGCCTCGAAAGACTCACAGACTGCCATCGGCGCCAGCAATGGTGGCAGCACCGTACGCGCTGCCGCCAATGATTTCATCCACCTTGCCGAGTTCGGGTGTAGTGAAGCCCAGAGGCACAAAGATGATGCCGTGGTGCGCAAAGAATGGCACAGTGGTCAAGGCGGTGGCTGCAGGTGCGAGCAGCGAATGCAAGACGATCACAGAATGAGCACCTGTTCCTATAAATTTCGCGACTGGAGCGAGTGCACGAATCTCTTTTGCGCCGAACTCACTTTCGGCACCGCCATGCTGGCTGGCGGTCGATGTGACCAAGGTAGCCAGCTTTCCAACCAGACGGCCCGACGCCCACAGGCCGCCGGTCTTGTCGAAGAAAGCGCTGACGCTAGCGGGGACGCGTCTGAAGGACGACCATGTAGCGGTTGCTCAAAAGGTTCAGCAAGAGACGCATGGGATTGCAATTGGCTCCCATCACCACTCACCCATAACGAGCTGCGGAGAGACGTGTGGAAGGAAGTAGCGCATGAGCAAAGCCATGCAAGCGACGACGAGCACTCCTGTGCGCATGTACTCACTACCGGTGCAAATGACGAAGCCATCGAACTGAGTCAGGGTTTCAGGGTCGATCTTGGGCAAGTCCGAGGTCAGACTCTGAGGCAGCGGAGGTCGGTCATCAAGGTGATGCGTCAGTTTGATGAAGCGCTGCTAAGCCTGAGCATTGATCACGCTCGCACCTTGTTGGCGTGCATCTTGGTGAGGACTTCCTCGGGAAGGATCTCTTCGATCTGCACGATTGGATGCGCAGAGGTGCGCGCGCGAAAAGAGTGAGGAAAGTGACAAAATGTGTCCGGATTCAGGAGTCTGGAGTCACATACCTGGAAAGTCGTGTACTCGACGCCGGCGGCCTTGAGACCTGCCTCGACCTGCTTGGACAGGGTGACCTGGTGGCCATACAGGCTGTAGACCAGAACTGCTACTTTGGCGGACATGGTTACGTGGATTGATTTGTGTGTGCTATGTATTGATCGTGATGCGTTGTTGTGCGGCGAGGTGTGCCGAGATGTGTGGACGGAGGTGTGACACAGCAAGGATTGCTGGCTGGCCCCTCTTATATACGATGCGAGGTCTGAGCAGCCCGGAGAAGTGCCTCCAGTCTCGCGTAAGTGCTCTGTGCATGGTCTGTGCTGCTGCTGCTGGCTGTGGCTTGTTCGCTGTTAAGCTGCTCGATTAGAAGTCACCAGTGCTGCAAGACATCTTGCACCGTAAAGCACACCTTCGTCTTAAGACCGAAGGGACGGAGCGACGAAGGACGGCATATATTCAGCTATTCTCCTTGCCCTATTCTCCGTGCGCCGCTGCTGTAGCGAGGCAACCGTGAGACGCAAAGCGACCTTCGCATCTGCGCGCGTGCAGCGGCCAAACTCGCGAGGTGTTGGCCTTCGTCACTCAGCGCGTAGGGAGTCACAGTCTTGCTGGTGAGGGAGCGATGAGTGATCGGATGAACGCTTACGTTCACGCTCACACTCACGCTCACACTCACACTCACACTCACACTCAGACTCACACTCACGACTCTTGACGGCCTCCGTCGCCACCAATCTCCTCTTCCTGCTGCTGCTCTTCTGGACTGTAGCGCTTTTCCGCACGCCGCCTGGCCAGCGTCAAGTTGTGGAGCATTTCATGTTCTTCAACAGCATCGGCATGCATTTTGATTTGAATGCTGAGGCTGACGGCGTGGATGTGTGCGTCGGCTGGGCCTTGCAGCAGTCTGTTGTGAAGGGAAGATGTATTCCTTACGTGGTGGGTAGTCCGAGCTAAATCGGGATGGCAGAGAGATCTACATACACGTAGATACTTGTACACGCACAGGAAAGGGCTCATCTGTCCTCCTAAAGCGCCGAGCATACAGGGAGGGGGCCCCGTGCACACACACAATCACAAATTGCCGTCTTGGATGGCTGCTGCGACTCGCAATCAAACGCACAATATCAAAGGGATGGCGTGTAATCCAGAGCATGTGGCGCAATCAGCCGCCATCCGTGCACATCATGTATGACGGTAGGCTCGGCACAGTCGTGAGTCTTCGACCATCAAAATTGGCAGAGGTTATCACACCTCTCTCGAGCAAAACCATCTCGAGGCGCTGCCGCAACGCTCGACTCAGACTCGATCATCCTCGCCCGGTAGCTGCGCTGCTGCCGTGCATCATGACTGTTCTTTCTTCCGAAGGACCAACACTGGCTCTTCAAGCCGAACGGCGAACAGCACTCTTTCAGTCGCGAGAGGAGCAGACAGCGGTGCAAATCATTCGTGGTTGGCAGCGAGTCGGTGCACGGGTGCGAGTGCGCACGCACCGATACATGCAGCACCCCATCAATCCGACCACTTTAAGCCGGGGAGCAACTCTTTTGGCTGCGCTGACACTTGCATAAAACACCATCATTTTGCGCAGCTACTGCACCGGGGAGCCTCATCGACACACACTCAAAGATTCTGTGACCACATCAAGTACAGATCACGCGGCATCATCCCTCAGATCGCACTTGACTCACGAGTCAGTCTCGCAAAGATCACACCTCATACTCTGATGAGTGTGTCACGACAGCGTGCTCGTATCAGCACGCATGCTCTATCGCACTCATCGTGACTCTGCACGCTTGCGATGCTCGATGCTCGGTTCTGCAACACCTACGAGAAGCGCTTTGAGAGCCTCATTTCAGGAGCTATCAAGAGGTTGCAAGCTGTCTTGAGTCGAGAGTCAAGGGCCCGCCGAACGCAACGCGAATGTCCCGCTTCGAGCGCTGAGCGATTGTAAAGGCTCAGCAGCACCAGTCAAGCTCGTTCTGTCTCGACCTCCTTCGCGCGCGAAGATTGGCCGCAACCGACGCCGCGAAGCTCGATCCCAAACCAGCAAGTACTAAGCATGCGACTGCAACCACGACTTTTGACTGCTCGAATGCACCTATGTTGCGCGGAATAAATCCTCACCTCGGCGACATCTGCGCAGCCAATCAATAGAGCAGTGATGGCATAACAAATTGTACGGAGACTCATGGGACCAACACTTGGGCGCTATAGTGTAGAGATCAACATGATCGACCACAGGCAGACGCGATCAGGGTGCTTGTGCTACATGAGTCTTCATCATTGAGGATGTCGGCAATTATACACCAGTATCCAAAAGAGACCAAGGCTAAGCCTGCTTCTTTACCTACATTCAGTCTTGGCCTCGTCTCTGCACCCTCTCACCAGCCTCACTCCTCTCCTCCCGACCTCTTTTCGACGTCAACAGCTTGCGATCCCTCACCTCTGACCGTACGGTATTTGCCACTTTCTCCGCCAGTAAGCTTGCGTTTTGTCATCTTCCTCTCAGCATAGTCGCTCCCAACACAGTCACTTCTCGATCTATGTGCATTTATGAGGCCGCTTTCCAGCCATTCCAACGCGACGACTTCCTCGCATTCCTCCTCGTCGTGTCCCGGCGCGCACATCACCACAGCATCTCGTCTGACCCTGCTCACAGCAAGAAGCACCCGACCACTAAGTCCTTCGCGCATAAGCGCGCACTGGGGGCACGTTTCGCTAGACTCTCGCAAAGAGCATCCTGTCAAGATATGCCACAGCGCTGATCCCACCATATCCAGCGCAGTTGAGCGCTCACTCTCGATCAGCAGGTCGTCGGATCGGCAATCGATGGAGTCTTCAGCTCGAAGCAGGAGCCGCGAGCGCCCATCGCTCGATATGCAGCAGATGCCCGGAGGGTTTCCTGGAGCTGGTCGGCCATCGATGGACAACTTGTCGGCAAGGCCGCTTCCTCCTACACCTCCTTCATGTTTCAGCAGCGGCGCTCCCGTTGTCACACCAAGACAAAGCTCGCTGCGCCTGACTTCGATCGAGGAAGATCGCGACGAGGCTGTGAGATCACAAGCTGACCTGTCGAGCAGCTCTTGGCGAGCACCTGCTCAAAGTCAGCGGTCCATCGCTCCCGAAACCAAAGCGTTGCCTTCGTTACCATGGGCTCCTCCACCCGAATGGATGCAAGAGGCTGAAAGCGCAGGTTCACACGCTTCGAACTACGTACAGGCGCGAAGCAAGTTCAGCGCTAGCCCTGACTCGACCGCGCGAGGCAAGCTGCTCCGAAGATTTGCGAGGACACGGAAAGCCAGTGCTGCAAGTCACACACGAGCTCTTCGGACTGGCAAAGCGGATCATGACGGGGTCGCACTGATGACACCGCATGCTGTGTTGCAAACCAAGTTGCCTCTGCTGAGACCGACGACTGCTCTAGATGACGCCTCAAACGTGCGCGGTTCGCGACTGACTTCGACCTTCACGGGCATTCGCACGAAGCTGTCGTGAGTTTGAGAAATGCCGTGGTGGACCAGCTCCCTGGGCTGATTCTTTTCCTCTCTCCGTCGCGGCCAGAAGAGCACCACTTGCGCAGTTCACGAGGAACGGAGAGGCGTGCGTAAGGGAAGATGGCCAATTCGACCTTGTTCGAGCAAAGGGCAATAGGCCAGAGCTTTGCGATGACGGTCACGCTCAGACGAGCAGTCTCAGGTGGCCTTTCGGGCCTAGTAAATTCGGTCAAAATTTGGAGACCACAGCTTCTGTCCCCACACGTTCGGGTATGCTTTGGCCCCAGGACAAGCGAGCATCCTCTTCTTCGCAAGATCGCGTCTCTGTTGCTACCTCCAAGAACTCGTCAAGGTCTCGCAAGGTATCTACACGATCTCGCAAGAGTTCCACCCAGCGCCTGAGGGTTCCTTCGAGTGCTTCACGTAAGCTCGGACCTTCTTCCGCCAGATCTCCCACCCGAAGCCGCAGCGCACCGCGTCGACTTCGTTTGCTTTCGACCACCCGTGTCTCCCAACGTAACGCCGCCAAGCCGTTCGACGTACGCGAATCTGTCAGAAGATCTATTCGTGACTCTTGGATAGACGTTGCAGATTTTCAGCCCTCTCTCGATCGACGTGCCGAGATGCAGACACTGCGACCGACGTCCGCTTGGGCCAATGATAGAGCCACCAGCGTGAAGCCTTCGTGGTGGAGCATGATTCGGAGAGGCAAAGATCTCGGCACCACCAGCAAAGACGGTTCATCCATCGGTGAACCAATCGCACTCACAGGAGAGATGATGGACGTGGCTAGCTCGATTCCGTATCTCCGAAGGAGCGATGATATTTTGCGAAGATCCTCCTTATTTGATGACCTCCCTCATCTTACCGGGCGGGGCTCTCATAGCGTCGACTTACGTGAGTACCTTGACAGACACTTTACACTCGTCATGACGGTGACTGATCGGAACTGCTGCAGTCCGACCTTGTCAGCCCATCAGAACGGAGTTGCCGTTCAAGCCAGCCCCAAGGACGCGACCTGCGCTTCCTGATCTCCAACTCTGGGCGACAATGTCTCGCACCCCTGCGGCCGTCGAAGAAGCCGTAGAACCGCAAGGGACGCGTGACCGTTGGGATCAAAGCAGGAACAGCAAGCGGAAGAGCGAAGACCGGCCTTGGCTAAGACCTCTGCGCTTGCCTCAGTCGGCTGGTCTTAGCCCCACGACATCGCCAAAGAGCTCAGCGCTTCCTCAGGCCATTTCCGCCCCCTTAATTGTGACACCACCGCTCTCTAGCGGCAGATCTACGAACGCAGAAAACTTCTTTGCTTCTTCTTCTCTGCCCATTCCTCCTCGGACTCACAGAAGTAGAGCTAGCACGGTCAGCTCATACGATGATAGGGATCGCTCTCTGACCGTCGCTCTAGCGCCAGTCGGTGGTACAAATGATACGATGGTCAGCGTGCAGACTGTGTCGTCTTCGATCCTGTTTGCCGACGCTGCGCTGCGTAATCCGCCTTCCCATCAACGCGAAAGTGCCGAGCAAGCTGCAAGCGCAGAATTTGGAAGCACGAGAAGACCTTGGCCCTGCCTCCGAATCCCACCTCAAGAGCCTCTCCCCGCTCCTCCGGTGTCGGCGGCCGAGTCGACATTCACGATCAGACCTGAACCTGCGTCATCTCAGCCTTCAAACACTCCAGCGGCTAGTCGCCGCACCAGCACTACGCGAACTTCGCAGCAAACGACCTCTGGCTACGTCACGACCAGACCCCTCAGCGAACCTTGCTCG